ATAAGTTTAGGTTCATTAATTAATGCTATTTCATATTGATAACAAAACTCAACAATCAATTCATCTTTATAAATAGATAGCAATGACTTTTTTCTATTGCTGTCAATTTCATTTTGACTTATGTTTTGGATTATTGATTTTATTCTTAAAGCTATCTCTTTCAATTCTCTATTTTCAGAAGAAAACATTCGTCGAAAGATAGTTGAGAATCCCTCGTGGAGTTTTGAATCATCAAATTCATCGTTATCATTGATTTTCATCTTGGTAGAATTACCGTTATATTGAAAAGATTAAATGTACGTTGAAAAATTCTGTCTTTATATCTGCTTTGCAAGTCGGAGTTTGGATTCCTACCGCTGCTTTTTCTAGAAATCTAATTCAAAGAAAGAATAATAATAACTGTAAGCCAATATGCATAACATATACACTGTTCTAAGAAAATTATTTATAGCACTTCATTAAATTGGTGTTCTTATAATACGTCAGTTTCGTTTTATTAAAAATTTTATACCATATACATATACATGTACATAATCATAAGTTGGTATTTATTTTTAGAAACCACATTCATAAGTTGGTACATGTATTTATTTTAGAAACCATATTCATATGTTGGTATTTATTTTTAGAAAACACATTCTTTATATTACATAAGTTATTACCATTCCAGGGATGCGTTAAAGTGTTGTGAGTATGATGATCTGTCCGAGAAACAAGCCAGTAAGAATGCGTAAATTTTTAATAACCCGGAAAAACAAATCCGAAGAACGTAAAAATGAAAAATATGAAAATGTATGCTTAATTTATTTTGGAGCACTAATTGAAAACGTCGGGGAGGAAATTTACATATACTCTAGCCCTTCACTCTATCCCTAACGGTAAAATCAACCTTTAACTGTGATAAACACGTATCACGTGTTCACAACGCTTTAGCGCATCCCGTTAGCAAAGTTTCCTTAAATTTATAACGATAATATTGAGCATGATGTCAATATTTTATTAATTTCTTTGCAAACTTTAAACAAGAAATTCGTCATAATCAATGAGGGTTATGGTTAAGCCCAGTGTTGTCGTTTGGACGTAAATCCAGCAACTTGATTGGTCGGAACGCTTGTCCCGACCAATCAAATTGCTGGATTTACGTCCAAACGACAACACTATATTGTACAGTCAAAGTGCCTCACAACGAAGTCCATGGGCCGACCTAATGCATTAGGTATATAAAAATATTCGGATATCAGAAAACTGATTGTATATGCTATACCAATATACAAATTTGTTATAGAGCGATGCCCTAACGATCTGTTCTGATCGTCACCTACGAAAGCCTGGTTCATCCGACAAACAGTCCGAAACACAAACCAATAGCTGATATTCCTCAAATTACTGGTGGCACGGACCAATAAGGATGTGCAAATAAAAAATACGTATGAATGTACCCCAATCCGTTTTGGTTAGATCAAATAACAGCCAATAAGAATGCATAAATTTTTTATCAACCCGGCAAAACAAAAAAAAATACAAGAAACAAATACCTAAAAAATGTCGGAAAGACAATTTTACATATAACCTTGTCCTCTGCCTCTAACCCCTTAAAACCAATTTTAAAATTAATGTAGAATTTTCCGAAAACACACTAACCATATTGGAATTATATATATATATATTTGAGGTGTACATAGATGCTTCATAGAGTATTAACCCTTCCTCTAATCTAACCCTAAAACTTTTGGGTAATCTGGCACATGTTCATGACATGTATTCGATAGTTGCCACGACTTATGTTATTTCATGTTCTAATGTCTGCAACTCTACCAATAAGGATGCATAAATTTTGAACAGCACAGCAAAACAAATCCGAAACGCAGAAAACAGATGCTTAAATCCATTTTGGTGCACCAATGAAATGTCAGTAAGGCAATTTTATGTATAATCTTGATTTTAACTCTAGCCCTGACCTAATCCCAAGCTTAAAATCAATAAATGTATTTAATTACATGATTGGCTAGGCTTGAACAGTTTTCGTAATAGCGATAGGCAAATTTTTATTAGCCTAGCAAAACAAAAAAATAAAAAATGTGAACGTGAATGCCCAAATCTAGCTTGATGCACTAATTAAAAAATGTTGTGACGACAATTTTATATATAACCTGATCTCACAATCCAATCCTTATCTTAAAATCAATCTTTAACATTAATTAAAAAAATTTCCAGGTGGGAATAATTATCTATTGGATAAAGGTATTCTATATAAATAATCTTTCCAATAATTGATGTCCTAAATAGCATGTAATATCCAGCATATTCATTTACAGTATTTATTATCTTTGATCCAAATGATTATGATTGATAAGAGAACATATAATCATGTGGGGTGTATTATGTTTTTTGCCTTTGTAAAACTTCTGGTACAATATATAAATTGTATCATAAATTTCTTTATCACCCATAATCATTTATATTATATAAAATCAATTATATTAAAAAGCTGGAGATAAAATATTACCACTACGTAAAACACGATGAACGAATTTTTATATTCCTATCTTTCAGCTAAAGATCTACAAGCACACCATATTAAAGTGCTCAGTGTTGACCATATAATGTAAAACAACATCATAAACTTCTAAGACTAAAATATAGTGATAGTTCCTTTTTTAGGATCTCTTGAAAAAATTCCATGCGCGACATACCGTAAAGCGCTCTGTATAATATCCCACTTTGTAGAAAATTTAAACCTCAAGGCTATTAAACAGTAACTAAATTTTTTAAAAGGTCGCATAGTGAAATCTAAATTATTTGCGGAAAAATAATTAGATTTACTTAAAAAAAAATTGGACTAAAATTGTGGTTCAAATTTCTACAAAGGGGATACTATACAGAGCGCTTTACTGTAGTCTACTTATTATTATGATAATATATCGCTATGAATTTCAAAAATAAAAATGCCAATTAAAACTTAACGTTAATAATCAGAGTTGTAATCAGCTTCTCGTTGGATCCGAATAACGTAAAGTAGTCGATTCTTCTCGAACACAGTTTCTTGCTTTTTCGTTATAATTACGTATCGCCGGATTCTTCTTCAGCTATAAACTTAATTCATCATAAGGAATCCACTCAAACCAGGCTGCTGGTTTATTCTTTCAACTGATTTTATCAGCTTAAGTTGTCCCATGAAAGTAAGATAAATTTCATCTTTTTATTTCATATTTTTTTTTTGACAATTTAGACAATTCCATTTTAAATATTTGAAAAGTTGGAAGAGCAGCAGAAACATTCTTATTATTGTGTATGGTTCAAATATCTAAACTTTAATATACGTACATGTATTTATAGAAAATGTAATTATGAGCGTACAATATTAAAAAATAAAAAAGTTTATGGTTTGTGAATATAAACCTGAGATATAATCTAAAAGGGAATATATGTTTTTATTTTAGTTTAGTTTGTTTACCAATATACGTAATCAAAATGCATAAAAAATAAATTAAACACTCAAAGCCGCTAATATAATTCAATATCTTGCATACAGTAATTTGGATATAATAATGATAAAAGAAAATCATTTGATGTCATAACTCTCGACCGATTTTCTATGAAATTCATTATCGGTAAAGGACTTAGTTGTGATGAGTAATCTCCAGAAAGTGAATAAATGCCTCATCCGTTATCTGATATATTGGAGGGTTTAGTCTAAGAGATTTAATTATGGATCGAAGCGCTCTTACCAGAACATTAATAATAATCGTCCAACTTTTTGGTATATATGTCCAGATGATAAAAATTCGGACATACCTTTATTTTCGCTAGACTATAAACCATCCATGGTAGTTTATGAGTATCGAACACTTGTTGCAATTCCGTACTTGACACTCGTGACATTTACTACAATCATGAGTACTGTGAACTGAACACTCCATTCTTGACAATCGCCATATTCACTACAATATTGAGTATTCGAGTCTTGGAGTTTAGAATTTTTCAGATAACAATAGTTTTAAATATCTTTTTAGCGATGTCTTCTTTAAAACTTTGAAATGATGGTAGAATAAACGAGAATGTGGAAATTGATTTTTGTGTTAAACACAGATTGTGTGTACGTTTAAAATCGATATTGAAGAGCATAACTTTCGTGTTGATGTTTACGCATGAAAAATGACATCGACGTGCATTTACATGTACATGTAATTAGATTCTTAGCGAGAACGACTCTCGATATAACGACCATGCAGATCCTATTGTAAACAATATAAATTCAATAGAATCTGCATGGTCGTTATATCGAGAGTCGACTGTATACACTTGATAAGATAATTGGCTAAAAAATCTAAAGTTCATAACGATAATAATAACACAAGATCACCGGATCGATTTACTTTTACTCTATTATTTGTTTTATATACATACTAACGCTAACGCTAATCCAGTAACCAAGTCGTTTTGCTATCACGATAGCGATAAGTCGTTACCAATCGCTATACAAGAAAATTAATTTAACCACTGCTTGATTAAGCTTCAATAAATTTGATTTTGTTTAATTTACGGAAATGCTAAAAAATACTCCTATGCGATTATCGTTATCGTTATAAAAAAAATTGGCATGATATCGATAACGATAATTATTCGATGCACTGACCGTAGAATGAGATAATAATGGGGTAAGTACGCAGAAATTTTACCGTAACTTAAAATTGATAACTTGTTGTTTCAAGTTTATCGTTACGAGTTGGTTCTACACATGTGGTGTAAGTTCTAATATCTTAATACGGGGAAACAATAACGATAACAATAATCTGGTTTTTCCGTCTCTTTTGGGCAAATTGAAAAAATCTGCACGTGAATATCAAAAAAAAGAAATGATGGGTAAACATGAAATGGAACCAGAAAAGTAATTGCTTTTCAGGAGTTTCTTTATAAGCAATACAATTTTTGTTTTCTCGAATTAATTGAGCTTAGAGGATACGAAATTTCATTCAGGAAATTAAATATAGGATAAAATAATGGATGCTCAATTTAAAGTAAATCCTATCGCTACCGAAAAATTAGCGCATGACACATTTATCGAGTCTCCGACAACCAATAAAACAAAATTTCAGAACCCTTCAAACACCTTCAACGGAAAACTCAACAATCACATCAACGGTAATTGCATCGAAAATAACGCCCACTACAATGATTTATGCGTCACTCCGGAACATAAAACCTCTTTGCCTACACTTTTCCCCTCGTTTACGTATATCATGTATGTTGAACGTGCCATCAGTAATTTACTGTTGACGGTGATATTCGACTGGACGATGCCGTTCTTTCATCCGTTTAACTTTTTGCTGATTGTTACGATATTTCCGTCTATCATTTTCGGATTGGTGGTGGTAGAAGCGGCCTTGCATATTTCCTTTTGGATGGGATTGGGAAATATATTGGCGGAAATGTCGAAAAGATGGGGCAAGAATTTAACTCCTGTCAATTGGTGTTAGTATTTATTTGTTAATTGTTAGAATGGATTTATTAGCATAAAAAATATACATTATTATATTAAGATAAATGGGTTCTTATTAATGTTTAGGGGATCCAAGAATATTTTCGGAAGAAGTAAATAATATTGTAAAAGATGGAATAATAGGACTCGATAAACCATTAGCCCCGAGTGTAACATTTGAAGAGACAACTTCCAAAGATACAACCAATACTAGACAAACACGTATATTCGATATCGACATTGCCGAAACTCTTTTACTCATGTCAGCTATTGTCTACGAAAGAGACGACATGAAAGTTCGTGAAGCTCACAAAACAATTCAAAAATTAACAGAAGATCGGGAAGGATTAACACATGATACTTACAAAAATATTCACGCTAATTTGCATGAGAGCGAAAAAAGAATTCGTGAACAAGCAGAGATTTGGAACCTCGAATTTACGTCATTGTCAGAATTGAATTCTCTTGGTGGACCTTTCGCCGGGATGTTTTGGTCTGAAGAGAACAATTTTATTGTTGTGGTGTTCAAAGGAACTACGCCGACTAATTTTGAGGACTTTTTGGTCGATGCGATGATTCAACGTGTTGATGCTAGGTAACTTTTATAATTTTCTCGTATGTTTGTAAACTCGGTTTGTAAATATTTATTTTTCTTTTAACTAGATCGTATGTTTTCGGCGAAGTCCACGAAGGTTTCTACACTTCACTTTTCCCAGCCGGTCACTCAACTTCACGTGGACAAAATTCAAGTCCATATATAACTATTATCAAAGCGATTCGTGAAACGGCTTCCAAAATTCGTGAAAAAAATGCACAACTCTCACCACCAATTGATGCGCCCGTGAATCTTTGGGTCACTGGCCATTCATTGGGAGCAGCACTTAGCACATTATTCTACGCTCGTTTGTTGAATTCACCTGCCGATCTTGGTCCCAATTGCATACTTAGAGATGGGTATATGTATGGAACACCAGCTATTGGTGATGCAGATTTCGCAGCAGAATTCTCTGCCCTCAGTAACACACCATTCGATCGACAAAACACATTATGGCGTATTATTGATGATACTGATATCATTACGAAACTTCCACCCGGATTTGATGACCTAACATTTCGTCGCTTCATCAATAAATTAAGTGTTTTGAACTATGCGCATGTTGGCGAGGGGATTAGGTTTTTCCAAGATGGCAGACCACCCGTGAGCACTTGCAATTTGTTTGAAAACTCCCGAACTGCGGTATTTGTTCAGCGTAAGCCTGAAGGATACCTTTCGAAGTTGTTTAGATTGAATAGAACAAATCATGCCGACGACGATGCCACTCGTGAATATCATCGACGAAGACGTGCAAATGGTGAAAAGTGGTACAGCAAAAAAGATGTATTCAGTCAAAAACCAAAGTACGAGCATGAAATTGGCAGTCCGTTGATTTGGATAGAGAATATCTTGCCGACATTCTTTAGCAATCATTTGCCTATTCGATATTTTGAGGCAATGCAACGGGCGCGTGTTTATTTCGATGACGATGACGACGACGACGACATTGACATCGATCAGAAAGTTAATGGAAAGAAAATGGATTGAATAAATTCTTGCTTGGAAAGATGTGTAATAACAAAATATTTATTCTATTTATAAATAATAAAATATATCGACATACGTATGTTATTCAATTCTGCATGAAGTTAAAAATTAAATGTTTTCGTTCTAATCAGAAATGAGTCATGAAAGCACTATCGCTATCGCTATGGTGCATAAAATCTAGTCATCAAACGTTTGTATTTTATAAACTGTATATATAAACTTCTTAACTAAGAAGTAAATTCAAAATTTAATCCGTGAATATGATAGAATAGGTCCTTTCTGAGCAATTACTATCGATAATATTAACGTTAAAAACGAAATTGAATAAAAAATATATGCGTGTGAACTCAAACACAGTTAATATCGATATCGATCCCATGATTTCTAATATTTAGACTCTTAAATTAAATCAAGGACAATAAAGATTTTAAAGTATAAAGAAAAATAGTTATCATTTTCTTCTAAAAAAGCGCAGTATTTCTCTTTGATATTTCCATATTTTGTTGGAAGTGATTCGTTATGGATTTGTGGATTTTGTTGCAAGACACTCGATGCCTCTTCATCTATCTTGAATCTGTAGTTTTTCTTGCAAGTCACTCGATATCTCTTCATTCTCTTTGATTCCATGTGGCATACTAAAATTGCAATCGTTTGGAGTATACAAACAGACACTTGTAGAACCTAAATACATGTATTCGATATAAATTTTAATTAACGTGAAACGATAATATCGATATGATTTATATTTAGAAATAGAAAGTACCTGTGTC